TCCAGCGTATATAATCTGAACACATCATACGGTGATATTTTGCTATGAAACTAAGCTATGATATGCTAAAAAAAACAACTGTCATTATGGTAAGCAAGGCCTCGTTAGGTTGTTTTTACGTGTTCTTTCAGTTCTTCAACACGCCAGAATTGCACTGACAGCACTGACTGAGCGAAAGTGCTGTCTTTAAATACCGAATTCCCCGCAAGCACAAGCACAGCAAGCACTCTTTACACAACAACATGAAGGCTGCACGTGTCGTTGCTACCGGGATATCCAATGCAACTGCGACGTGGCATAGTCAAGCACGTAGCCCTAACCTTGGTTGCTCGCTAATCGGACGAACTGAAATGAAATCTACGACGGATGTTTGTATTTTATTGTTGCTATGATTAAATCATTTGTTAGAATTATGTATATATCCATTTTAATGTTTAATTTACTTCATTATTTCTCTCTCTCTCTCTCTCTCTCTCTCTCTCTCTCTCTCTCTCTCTCTCTCTCTCTCTCTGTCTCTGTCTGTCTCTGTCTCTGTCTGTCTGTCTGTCTGTCTGTCTGTCTGTCTGTCTGTCTGTCTGTCTGTCTCTCTCTCTCTCTCTCTCTCTCTCTCTCTCTCTCTCTTCTCTCTCTCTCTCTCTCTCTCTCTCTCTCTCTCTCTCTCTCTCTCTCTCTCTCTCTTACTCTCTCTCTCTCTCTCTGTCTATGTGTATATTGCATGTTTTCTGAAATTAATAATCCTCCGCTTTTATACTTATGATGACGATGCAAGGATCATTTTCATTAGATTGCACGGGACATAATACAACAATAGACTTATACATTCCTGCAAAAAAGCCCAATTTCCCTTTTGAGTTAAATAAGAAACATGCTAAGCAAAGTACTTAGCTTACATTTAAAGCAAAATTAATGCGCACACGACTGCATGCTATCTGTTTTTTTTCTGCATAATTAAGTCAACAACTCACTGTGAGTAAGCGTACATGAGGATATGCTGGAAAAATGACAAACATTTTCTCATGAGTCAACAAAGCCTGACAAAAAATGCCTGAGTTTTCTCGGTAAACAACAGGAGAATGTTTTTTTGCTTCGACCAGCTACTCTCCTCGTAAACATCTCTTGTACAGTACTTTATTTCCTGTCATGAAGTGGATTTTTGTATTGTCATTTTTATTTACTTTTGTCTATTATTATTATTTTAAAGGGAACTGTCTTGGAAGAAGAGTTACACAGAGAAAAAGAAATTGAGTAGCGAAATGTACTAAATGTCTGGACAGATAGGAGGGTCAGAATTATTATTATTATTATTATTATTGTTATTATTGTTTATCAATATATTATTATTATTATTATTATTATTATCATTATCATTATTATTAATATTATCATAAGCTATATAAAGAGCCACACTGAAAAAATCGAGATTTATACCACCAAAGTTGTCAGTGCAGGTCAAGATACAGCTAAGAAAGAATGAAAGAATAGAAAGTCAGCTACTTACGTAAGATAATGTTAAGAGATAGACAAAAGATAGTTTTGAAGATAAATGTTAATGATCGAAATCTTTGAATATCGAATAAATGACAATAATAATAATAATAATAATAATAATAATAATAATAATAATGATAATAATAATAATGGAATGATGAAAATGATAATCAATATGATAACAACAATAATGAAAATGACAATGTAAAGGCACATAGTTCATATGAATGGAACAGCATATTAGGTAAATCGTACTGTTTTGCAAACGCCCGTTAAAGTATATCTATAAAATATTTATAAAACCGCTAAATTCTTTATACTACATCGGCCATTTATTCATATCTTTTAATACCACATCGTCCATTTATTTATACGAAACCCTCCATTTTTTACATTAGAACAATCATATTCTACATCAAAACGCCAATTTCTTTACACTTTAAACATCCCATCTATAATAAAGCAACTTACTGTTTTGCAAACGACCAATTTTGTACATTAGACCATCATGAATATTTGGCTCTTCTTAGTATCAACATTAGTCTACGTACGTTAGTTGGGTTGAATGTTGTGTATATGTCATTCTACGAAAAGAAAAGGGTTGTTTTCGTATATCATTCGAACTAGTCTTTGATATCGTATCGATAATGATGACGGTAATTACGATGATGTGGCTTGTAATAATGATGTCAGCAGTTGTAGTGGTAGTTAATACTACCACTACAACTGCTGACATCCTTATTAGTGTGATAGTAATGGTAGAATTATTGTTATTATTATTATTATTGTTGTTATTTTCAATATTGTCAATGTTATTATCTTATTATTGTTATTACTATTGTTATTATTGTTATTATGATAATGATAACGATAATTATTATTATTGTTATCATTATTATTGTCATTATTATTGTTATTATTGTTAATATTATCATTTTTCTTTTCATTATTATCAGTGATTATCATTATCATCATCAATATTAATGTTGTTATTCTTACCATCACCATTATT